TGAATGTGCCCTTGTAGAAAGCTGCATGCACAATCACAATTAAGATAGTCAAAAGAGAAATAGTTTACCACATATAGTACTATGAGTAGAAAACATTACAGACAAAATTCTAAAGATCACAGGTCCAAACCATAAGGTGGAAAGTCCTTTCTCTCTGACAGTTCCTTCGATTATTTTTTCACAATGGTGAGATGCTATTGTATGTGTGGTGGGGGAAAAAAGTAAAGTCGCCATAGCCCTATTGGAACATAGTGCTGCTCTCTCATTAGAGAGGGAGGAGGGAGAGAGAGAACCGGTGGTGGCTTAACCTAAGATTCACCACCTCTCAGATGACGGAAGAAGTTGCGAAGGTGAATCCTTTGTGTTAATCTAAACTGGTGTGGGAATTGAACCCATGCAGTTGGAATCACTTGACACTGCAAGCCAGCCATCTAGCCAACTGTGCTAACTGACCCCTAATCAATCAGGTTAAGTTGGATCTTTTCTTCTATGAATTCTTTGAAGCTTTCTGGATGTTTCTGTCTTAGAGGGGTTCTGGCTGTATTCCACACTCTGCAAGTCTTGGCACTTACAGCTTTACAATCCACTCCAGAGCCCTGACCAGAGAGCCATTGCCAGGCAGAATTTCTTCAACTCAAAAAATATAGGCTCAGATCATCCTTTTTCTCTACGAGACAGCACAGCTCAAAAATATGCAACACTTATTTTTCAAGTCTCATGACTTTTCCTGCTTCCTTCAGTTATAACTGTCCAGCTGCCACTTCAGTTTATAAAATGAGAAATACATGGTTGCTTACATAGAAGATGGATGAAGCATCGGATTAGGTCAAGATTATAAAAATCACACACCAAAGGAAAGCACCATGTGAATAATCAATTCACATTCATAGAATATACAGATAGAACAACAAACAAACGATGGGGTGTGCTTCAATTGGCCTGTGATACAGTCATGTTTTAGCAGCTGATAATTTTGGGAACTAAATAGGGCAGTCAATATATACGGATAACAGTTGATTAGGCAGGAGAATTGGGATGATGCAGTCAGAACTGTAAATGCAATAAGCAGCTTTACACATTAAACATTCTACTCTATGACACAGTGCTGAAAAGCTCCCGATAGCAGCATCAGATTTTCTTCGGCAGCTCAGCCAGGCTCTTCAGACTAATCCCCTTGCTATAGCTGCATGACTTTTTCCTCCAGGGTGTCCATAACAATGTCTCCCTGCACTTATTCATGCAGCATGCAAATTTCCTCAATGATTGATTCCCTGCCTAGACCTGTCCAGACAGTTGGAGCGCTAGAATATTCTATGACGACTCTGGTGGCACTTCATTATACCCATTTTCAGTTGGTAACCATGGATACTCCAAAGATCAAATGAAGCATGACAGTAAAGAATAGCTTTGGTAGATCCAGGCTGCAAATTGCCTCCGAGAGTCAAATATTGATGGGACAGTGGACTGCTTTAAAAATGAAATTACTGTGATATTGCCTTGGAGCACTGACTTGCATAGTTCTGTTAGTAATAAATGGAAGTTTAGCGGAATTTACTTTCCCATGTTATACCGGCATCGCTGGCACAATCTGAAATTCCCAGAATCTTCAGAAATGCTGCCTCTGTCCAAATTCCTCAGCCTCTCCCTAGTGCTGTTGGCTGCCGGAGATGAAATGAGACAAAATTACTTCCTCAAGCAAACAAGGAATTCATTGTCACATGGTTTACTTATTGGTGTACCGCAGCTGAATAGATGTATTCTAAACAATCTGTTGAAAGATGCTATTACACAGCTCTGGAGCAGGTGGGTCTTGAACCCAGGCCTCCTGGCTCAGAGATAGGGGCACGACCACTACAATACTAAATTGTAGCTAATGCCCTGAGTGGTACTGTAATTTGTATCACCTTGTCATCCTGAAAACACAGGTTCTCCCCAAATGCCAGTTGGAGTGGGACAATCATGGATCCAGAGCCTTCTGTCTCCTGTTGACGATGTACCTGATCCCTGGATTGCACCTTTTGCTTTGTGCATCACTGTCCTCAACTACCTTCCGCAGGCACAGGTCAATTAATTATGGAAAACCAGATACATTCCAGAGAAAACTAAAAAAGTTTGGAGCTTCAATGTAATGGATTTCCACCTTCTTTGGTTTGCCAGTCATGTCTCAATTGTTTGCGTTCAGAGTGCAGTCACAAAGTTCCAGGTTCAAGTCTAACACCGAGGTTCAAGCACAAAAATGAAGGCTGTGATTTCAGTGCACTTAGGACTGAACTTGGAGGTGCTAAGATATTAAAGCGAGATTCCACTTTCCTCCTTGATGGATATAAAGTCTCACTGCACTCTTTCAAAGAAATTTACCAGACTTTGCTCCTGCGATGGCGAACTGTCCTATCGAGAAAGGTTAGGCAAATGCAGCCTGTATTCTCTAGAGAAGAATGGGAGGTGACCTCATTGAAACTTACAAAATGTTTAAAGGTCTAGGCAGGGTAGATGTAGGCCCTGGTTAAGTATTAAGAATAATGGGGTATCATTTAACTATAAACGACAATGCCACTAAAGACTTGAGGTGAGGACAATGCTCTTTACTCAGTGAGTTGTGTACACTTGGAATTCTCTATCCTAAGGCCGCAGAAGCTCGGTCTTTGAGTATGTTTAAGGTAAAGACAGATAGATTTCTGATTACCAATGGTGTAAAGGGTTATGGGAATAGTATGGATAAAAGACACTGACGTGTTTGTCAGCTACCATCATATTAAATGGCAGAGCAGGCTTGGCAAGCTGAATAGCTTACACCTGTTTCTATGCTCTGAAGAGCAGGGGGACTATCTTCACTGTTCTCAATATTTAGCCCTCAATCAACAGCACCAAAAAAGACTCTGTGGTTGTGGGAGCATGCTGTACATAGTTGCCTACCACATTTCCTACATTACAACATTGACTATACTGCAAGTACTTCAGCAACTGTAAAGCACTTTGAGACACCTGCTGGTCATGAAAAAAAAGCTATTTAAATGCAAGGCTTCCACTTCCTTTTTAATGACCGAGAACTGAGCATTTCCAACATATTTTTTAAAAATGCAGAATTGTGAGGCCTTGCAATCTGTGCATCACGCGCAACATGCAGAATTTTAAGGATCAAAACTGTGCATTTAACAAGATCAGTTAACTTTTTAAGTTTTCACATCATACCTCATTTTTCAAATCTTCATGATTAAATAATATCAAGCTAAATATTTGTGAATTAGATATAAAAAGAACAGGAATGCAAAAGTTGAGTTTAAATAAAAACATTGATTATTATTTAGCTTGTTTAAAGTTTCTTTTCCTAATTGACCCTCAAACACTTACCAAATACTGGAAATATGCTTAAATTATCACCTTGCAAAAAAAAACTAACAGTTCATAAGCCACCATATTTTCCTAGCGGAAAACAAAATGCTACTTCCATTCCAGCAATGAAACACGTTCATATATTAGATGAAGTGGTTAAAATTCAATAGGCATTTGTCCTAAGGTCTCTCAAAAATCTCTTATTAAACTGGAAATCTGATTTTAAAACCGTAATTCTTTCCACTTCATGCCCATTTTCTTCGGGAAGTCGGGTAACTCAGAAAGCAAGTCATCACTAGCAAGTCAACGAGGAGCAAAAATTTCATACTACACCTTTAAAGAAAAACATGAATGTAGCAATAAGAATGCACAGATAACTATTTCTCTTTACACACATCCCATCATGATAGCCTTTAAACAAGATGTATCATTTTAACATTGCCGACAATTTTTAAATCTAATCATTGAAATATAGAAGATAGGAGCAGGAGTACGCCATTCGATCCCTCAAGCCTGCTCTTCCATTCAATATGATTATGGCTGATCATCGAGCTCAGTACCCTAATCCTGCCCTCCCCAAATATCCCTTGACCCCTTTAGCCATAAGAGCTATATCTACTTCTTTCTGGAGAACACAATCTATTGGCTTCAGCCACTTTCTGTGGTACTGAATTCCACAGACCCACCATTCTGGGCGAAGAAATTTCTCCTCATCTCAGTCTTATAAGGTTTATCTTTAAACTATAACCATTGGTTCTGGATTCCCGCATCATCAGGAACATCCTTCCTGCATCTAATGTGTCTAGTCCTGCTAGAATTTTATAGGTTTCTATGAGATACCCCGCATTTCTCTAAACTCCAGTGAATACAATCCTAACCAACTCAATCTCTCTTCATATGCCAGTCCTGCTGTCCCAGGAATCAATTTTGCAAACATTCACTGCACTCCCTCTTTCGCAAGAGCATCCTTCCCCAGATAAGGAGCACCAAAACTGCACATGATATTCCAGGTGTGGCCACACCATTACCTTGTATAATTGTAGCTAGACATCCTTGTTCTTGTACTCGAATCCTCTCACTATGAAGGCCAACACATAGCTGGAGTCCTAGTACCATTCCCTGTGGTACCTCGCTGGTCACTGCCTATTATTCCCACTCTTCCTGCCCTGTTCGCTAACCAATTTTCCATCTATATCAGTAAACTACCCCTTAGTATAGCATCATTCATTTCAGGTAAATTTAGACATGTTTCAATACTTACAAAAAACATCTACATTGAGTTGATGCCATTGTTTACAAACAAGCGTGATTACTTTCATTCTAGATCTATTGCTGCTTTACTTTATTGATTTCTCCTTTCCCCACAAAGATAATGGTTTCCTTTAAGGAGGATAGTTGGACTTCAAAGTTCCCTGCCCTGGTCGCTGTACACACTTGAGCATTTCAGAGCGGACAGGCATTCTGGAAAGTGACCTATAACAAACCAACATTACCAATAGCTGTAGTTATGTTTACAATAAGCTGGTAGGAATCATTACTGAAAAAAGCCTACGTGCAAGGGACCAATTTTCCTTGTAATGGGGGCGGGGGGAGGGGGGGATTGGGGGGAAGCTCAAGAAAGTTCTAAACCGCATCCAGTTATAGACTGTAACTAATTTCCCAATACTTACTTGTGTCCATTCAAAGCAGCATGATGTAAGGCTGTATAACCAGAAGTGTCTGTACAGTTGACGTTGGGCCCTCGCCAAATGCTGAAAGGAAATACAAAAATAAAAGCTGAGCTTTCTAATAAAAATACGGTCAGCATCATTCAACAACTTAAATCCATGCATAATACAGTGCACACTATCCCTGGCCTCGCAGATTCATGTTAAATGAATTTTAAATCAAACTGAAGTGCTGTTAATTGCCAGCAGATCAAATTCCATAAGGTTACCAGAAAGTGCAGCAATTTAAAAATTGCTAAAACAAGATCCAATTATCCTTAAATGATTCTTTTTATGTCAAAGATAACTCAAGGATTTGGTCTTTTTTGCATGCTTTGATCTACATTCAGTATTTTGTGTCTGGGTGGTTTAGCACATTACAGCAGTATATAAGAGTAATCTCAGCTGTAATAGTGTGCTTGAACTGTGGTGTCACCCATTTTATGATCATGTTCAAAGGAGAATATTTCCCACCACAGACTCCAGAATTCAAATGAAATTTGGTAGGACGCTTTACATTCTGTCCAATGTCCTATTCCAATATGAAATATTGCTTCTAATTCATCTGTATTTTTCTCAAGCAATATTCAAAAATGCAAAAGAGCATTTTATTTCTCATTAGTATGACCTAAACCCATCTCATCCTAATAATAAAATGTTAATTGGTAGATATATTCATTCACATAGGCCTGTTATTGCATATGATGATCAGTTATCAGTATTGTGGCATGATTTTTATCATTTATTATTTTACATGCAACTTTAATAGTGTTTTATTTTACTGTCTATAATTCTACCCACGTTGCTGAGCACCATCCCACTAGTCTTTATCTCACTGTCCAGATCTAGACACACTTGGCCATAATGTAATTGCATTCCAGTGATAACTTATCCTCTTGTCAAATTAGACCAGCTAAATTGTAATATTGTCACCTCCAATTTAGACATATTTTTATTACCAGTGATTCAAAATGTTTGCAAATTGCTGAATTACAATAAATTTTTTCTCTAATTATGTGCAAAATGTGTTCAAATGTTATCTGAAAAGAAGTCTCCAACAATGAATCATTTTAAATGTTTTAACAAGCTGGCTATGAAAAGTCAATTGGTACGCTAGGGTAAAATCGGAAAGATTCTCTAGAAACCAAGTGGGTAAATGGAAAAAATGCAAAAAGGTGCAACTCCCTTGCTTCCTGCATTTTCCCTACAAATCATTTTTTAAAAGTTTAAGTCTTGTCTGCCTGCGTCCACCAATTGTTTTATGGTTGGGTAGATTATTCAGGGCAATCACCTTTTAATAAGCTCAATTTCCCCTTGATTATTTTTTTCAAAATGATGGCAGGGCTTCTGATTTCAGGACCAACCCACATACCATAGGTATGTGGCCAGCAAGTGCGTGAGCTAGCCACCCATCGTAAGGTTAGGGGAAGAGTAAACCATGCCCAAATGGAACCATGCCCCATTGAATATACACTAGGGCAGTGGCTGGGAACATGGGAATTCAAACTCTTGTATGAAGTGTTGCCATAGATCAAAAACTACAGGTCAGCATGGGCTCCTACATGTTGCAGCAGAAGAAAATTTTAACAAATTTGAACCAGATTTAAAGGTGAACTTTTCATCTTATTTGTCATTGGTCATTTTCAACAAGTATTTATTACTTTTGTGTATGTAGATTCCATGTGAATGACAGAGCACATGAATGTGACAGATGGTTATAGAACTAGAAATTCAATTCCAGGTTTTAGCCATAACTGTCACAATAAATATCTGTGGTACGTCAAGTTCCATTTGGAACCAAGACATGCTCAATATTAATGCTCAATATTACCACCACCCCCCCACCTAGGAGATTTTCAAGATGGCTGCAAGATAGATCATGTGACAATAGTCATTATGTCACCCAGAACAGCTCTCCATTAAAATTAATACAACAAAACAATGAGTTCAGAAATAATACAATAATGGACATCAACCAAAAAAATATGATTCACCTTTCTGTTCCTGATGTTGACAATTTACCAGCAAGTGTATATGAATTATTAGTCAAACTCAGGTACGAATTTCATTTTACAAGCAGCCATCATAATGGGAAACCTCTCTACCACCACAAACAATCACACAGCTCTGTAACAGAACAATACCTCGCTTTATGGGCCAAAGCTTGACTCTTTATTTACTCGTTACATGGTGATCTGAATACAACTCATTGTGATTAAAGTTAACTCACAAGAAGTTCCATGATATGACAATACAATATAATTAACACTTTCTAAACACTTACCAGTTGATAACTAGTACTATTTTCAGGCAAATCCCAAATGCAAGCCTGGAGCAGTGTTTTTAGACCAGTAGGACTGAGCTATTTTCTAGGTCTGCAGACTAAGGTACAAAGATGGCCTTTAGTAGATTGATGTGCTCTTCCTGTTGATTGTTTGAGATTAGGGAGAGTTTCCACGTTACTGATGATTATGTCTACACGAAGTGTGTTTGGCTGCGATTCCCATCGGATCACACAGATCAATTGGACTGGCAGTTAGAGGCAATGAGGCAGTTATGGGAGCTAGGGGGTATGATGGATGACAGTTGCAGGGAGGGTGATAAACCGAAGATACAGTCAGGAAGGTGTGTGACCTCCAGGAAAGGTAGGAGAGGGAGGCAGGTAGTGCAGGTATCTCCTGTGGCTATCCCCATCTCAAACAAGTATCTATTCTGGAAAATTTAGAGGGTGATGGACTCTCAGGGAAATGTAGCACTGACAGCCAGGTTTCTGGTACTGAGACTAGCTCTGAAGTAACGAGGGGTACATCAGGTTCCAAGCAGTTGATTATGATAGGGAGTTCTGTAGTCAGAGACACAGACAGACGTTTCTGTGGCTGACAGTGAGACATCAGAATGGTGTGTTGTCTCCCTGGAGCCAGGATCAAGGATATCTCGGAGAGGGTGTAGAATATTTTCAAAGGGGAGAGGGACCAGCAGAAGGTCGTTGTACGCAACGGAACTAACAACAAAGGAAAAGAAAAGGATGAGATTCTGCAGAGAGAATATAGGAAGTTAGGCAGGAATTTAAAAAGTAGGTCCTCTAGGGTAGTAATATCTGGATTACTCCCAGTGCCATGAACTAGTGAAGGTAGGAAATGAGGAGCTGGTGTGGTGGACAAGGATTCACATATTTGGATTGTTAGAATGTCTTCTGGAGTGGAAGTGACCTGTAGATGGAGGATGGATTACACCTGAATTGGAAGGGGACTAGCATAGTGGCAAGGAGATTTGAGAGAGCTGCTCAGGAGGATTTAAACTAGTAAGATGGGGAGGGGTGCAGGAAGGTAGTGAGGAAAGAGAACAGCCTGAGACCGGTACAATTGGGAAAAGGACTAAGTCAAACAGACAGGCAGGCAGGAACAAAGTAGAGAACGAGGTAGGACTGATAAATTAAACTGCATTAATTTCCATGCAAGAGGCCTAACAGGTAAGGCAGATAAGCTCAGGACTTGGTTAGGAACATGGAACTGGGATATCATAGCAATAACAGAGATGTGGCTCAGGGATAGACAGGACTGGTAGTTTAATGATCCAGGGTATAGATGCTATTAGAAAGGATCGAGAGTGGGGAGGCAAGGGAGCAGGGAGAGTGGTGTTTTTGATTAGGGATAATATAATGGCTGTACTCAGGGAGGTTATTCCCGCGAAAAATAAAGATGAACTAGAAGCAATATTTCACATTGGAATAGGACATTGGACAGAATGTAAAGCCTCCTACCAAATTTCATTTGAATTCTGGAGTTTGTGGTGGGAAATATTCTCCTTTGAACACGATCATAACGTCCAGGGAAGTTATTTGGGTGGAACTGAGGAATAAAGAAAGGGATGAAGGGATGATCACCTGATTGGATTGTACTATCAACCCCCCCAGTAGTCAGCAGAAAATTGAGAAACAAATTTGTAAGGTGATCTCAGTGATCTGCAAGAATAATAGGGTGGTTATGGGAGGGGATTTTAACTTACTAGACATGGACTGGGACCATCATCGTGTTAACGGTTTGGATGGACAGGAATTTGTTAAGTGTGTACAAGAAAAGTTTCTGATTCAGCATGTGAAATTACCTACTGGAGAAGGTGCAAGACTTGACCTATTTTTGGGAAGTAAGGCAGGGCAGGTGACCAAGGTATCAGTGGAGGAGCACTTTGGGGCCAGTGACAATAATTCTCCATGCACTGGCCAATCAGGCAAGTGTGCCAAATACCTTCTTCACCACATTGTCTACCTGCAAGTCCACTTTCAAGGAACTATGCACATGCACCCCTACGTCACTTTGTTCAGCAACACTCCCCAGGGCCCTACTATTAACTGTACAGGGCCTCCCTTGGTTTGCCTTACCAAATGCAACACCCCCCCATTTATTTAAATTAAACTCCATCAGCCACTCCTCAGTCCATTGGGCCATCTGATCACGGCCTTGTTGTTCTCAAAGACAACCTTCTTCACTGTCCACTACACCACCAATTTTGGTGTCATCTACAAACTTACTAACCATACCAGGGAGTTTGTACAAAAGTGAGATTCAGCCCTCTGAGATTACAAAGAGATCTTGATCAATTGGGCTAATGGCCCGAGGAGTGGGTAGATATAGGAAGGATATTATTAAGTTGGAGAGGTTTCAGAAATGATTTACTAGGATGTTGCTGGGATTGGAGGGTTTGAGTTATGGGTGAATAGGCTGAGGATTTTTTCACTGGAGTGTAGGAGGTTGAGCCGTGAACCTATAGAGATTTATACAATCATGTGTGGCATAGATAAAGCGAATAGCTAGGGGTCTTTTCCCTAGAGTGGGGGAGTTCAAAACTGGAGTGTGTTTTCTTTAAGGTAAGAGAATAAAGATTTCAAAAGGACATGAGGGGCAACCTTTTTACACAATGTGGTCAGTAATTAGAATGAACTGCCAGAGGAAGTGGGGACCAGAACTGGATACAGTACTCCTGAAGTGGCCTCACCAACATTCTGTTCACCAACCTCAACATGACACCCCAACTCCTATACTCAAAGG